GTTTGTTTTGTGTGTGTTGATTGTGTTAGAGATGTATGGTTCTGTTAAACCGAGATAGTTTGTAGGATACATACAGATAGAAGAGAGAGAGAGAGAGAGAGAGAGAGAGAGAGAGAGAGAGAGAGAGATTAAAGAATTCTGTAAGACAGAATTACTTAAAGCCCCACAGTGATTTTTGGACTGATGAAAAGTGAAAATCAGGGTCAGGGACTTAGTGAGAAAGGGCACTTGGTGTGCAAACATGTGGACTGTCCAGATCCCCAGCGCTCAGTAAAGCTGGACATGGCCACAATTGCCCATAACCCCATGGTGTGTGGAGAGAGATTGATCCCGGGAATTATTGGCCAGCCAGCCTAGCCAAAATAGCAAGCATCAGGTTCAATAGAGATCCCATCTCAAGGGAATATGGGGGAATGCGATAAAGGAAGACACCCGACGTCCTGCTCTGCCATCTACATGTATGGTCACAGATGCACACACCCACACATCTGCACACACACAAGCACACACACAAAATGACAGTCTTGTGCTTCCATGATTTTTTTTTTTTTTTTTTTTTTTTTTTTTTTTTTTGTGGCTGCGAGTGCATGTTGTGCATGTAGAGGACAGAGGCTGACACTGGGTGTTTTCCCTGATAGCCGAGGCAGAGTCACAGAGCCTGAAGCTCACAGCCTGTCTGGCCAGTCTAGCAGGCAGCTTGTCCTGGGGATACCCTGTCTTGGCCTCCTAGGCTATGGGATGGTAGGTGGACCTCCACTTCCACCATCCCCCAATTTTTATGTGTATGTTGAAGATCCAAACTCTGATCCACACTTGTGTGGAAAGCACTTTTATTCTAGACATCTAATCCCTGCCCATGCATTTAACATTTCTTATGTATATTTTAAATTGAATTTTTGTGTACCTCATACAAAACATCTTAGTCATTTGTATACCCCCTCCCCAGCTCGGACTCCCCATAGCCCACCCCACCAGATTTCATGCATTCCGCCATTTGTGCTTCAGTGTCTCTCTTACTGAGTTGATCAGTTTTCTTTGCCAATTCTGTGCTATTAATGGTGACAAGTCACATTTCAGGAGGAGAATCAAGAAGTGAGTGATCATGAGGAGGAAGAAGAGGATGAGGAAGAGGAAGAGGAAGAGGACATTGAAGGGGGTGAAAGCTCAGATGAATCAGATTCTGAATCAGATGAAAAAGGTATTTACCATTTACCATGAAGGCAGAAAAATCGTTTGGGGGAGTTGTTAAACTGTGGTAGAAAACTTGGCATCGTCCATTTTATCCTCAATGAAAGCAGCTTTCATGACCCCCGATCTGTATTTCTCCAAGACTCGTGTTCTAGCTTTAGTTACTGGGTCAATTCCACTTTTCTTTACTACAGATAGCACCTGTTATTTTGACCAGTGTGAGCACTCTGTCTTGCTCTCTCTTTTAGATTTCGGTTTATCTAGGAAATTTCCCTAATAACTGCCAGTGAATTCCTGACTATGATGATGGCTTTTACTTTATTGTTTAGTATGCACATGATCGTCTTTTTGCCCATTTTCGGTATTTTTACTTTCTTTTATAAACAGCTAACTATCAAGCGGACTTGGCAAATATCACCTGTGAAATTGCAATCAAGCAAAAACTGATTGATGAGCTAGAAAACAGCCAGAAGAGACTACAGACGCTGAAGAAGCAGTACGAGGAGAAGCTGATGATGCTGCAGCACAAGATCCGAGACACACAGCTGGAGAGGGACCAGGTGCTGCAGAACTTAGGTAAGCCTGGAGGTCTTCACGAAGCATGTCGGAGGCACTTCCAAATAAAAGCTTTAATCACTGTCTAAAAAACTGAGTCTATAATGAAGCAAAATGAGCCAGACATCTAAGAGGAAACATTTCAGGAGTTCTTACATCCCGAGAGTGGGATGTTTGAAAGGAATGGATGTCTAAGGTTGCAAATTGTAAATTGTAAATCTGTGAAATAAAAATCTGCGTCTCACAAAATCATTGCAATTACCTCTAACACCAGGATCAGTGGAATCTTACTCAGAAGAAAAGGCAAAGAAGGTCAAGTCTGAGTATGAAAAGAAACTGCAAGCCATGAACAAAGAACTGCAGAGACTTCAGACAGCACAGAAAGAGCATGCACGGCTGCTTAAAAATCAGTCTCAGTATGAGAAACAGTTGAAGAAGTTGCAACAGGACGTTATGGAAATGAAAAAAACAAAGGTATCGATTGTTTTCCGTTAAAGTTGGATGTTGAGGATGTTTGTAACTTTTGGCACAAAACAATTATTGTGGCTCTTCCCTAATTGAGCAAACAGTACCCTGTCTTCCAAATGATAAACCTCCCTCTGGCTATTTGAAGGTGTTTGGTAACCCCTTCTTCTAAGGAGCTGACACTCCTGTGGTCAGCGGGCCTCACGGTTGTAGTGGATGTTTCTTCTCTTATAGCTCTTTTATAAGGCTCACGGCAGTGTAAAAGCATGCACGTGTATGTTGATCCCATGACAGACACATTACTTTCACTACCTAGTTTAAGATATTGTAAGCAGACACTCAGCTTCCTGGGCTTGTCCCTCTCACCATACTCTTACCCACCAAGAGTGACATCAGGAGTTTGCTATTCCCATTCATGGAGAAGTGCAAAGTTTCTTCTCCAAACCACATAGACTGTGTGAATGCTTGTGTCAGTTTCTGTTTGACCATTATCCTAAAATCTCACCAAAATCAAGGTAGTTGCTTTAAAATGGCTCACATGGACATGATTTAAGAACTAAGTAAATCGAGTTGTGCAGTGGCTGGTAATGACAGTAGTTAAACTTAGTGCTCTGCACGAGGCTCTGTTGTAAGCACCGTCAGGTATTAACTCATTGAATTCTCACAATGGCAGGAGCCTTGTAGTTGAGAAAATTGAAGCCTTGAGAAGTTATATAACTTATTCAAGGTCACACAGCTGCTGATGAAACGTGGCAACGTTTCACGCAAATTATAGAACTAAACATGGAGTATGCAAAGCAGAGCACTAATGAGTTTGCAGAAATATAATCACCGAAAAGCAGCAGGTGACAAAAGTGTGCAGCAGACTCACGTGGTTCCATGCGAAGTGTTTGTAGAGCTGAAGGGCCTGTGAGTGTCTGAGTGCTGTGGTGGGGCCGACACTTCTTCTAATTTGAGGTTCGCCTGATGAAGCAAATGAAGGAGGAGCAGGAGAAGGCCAGGCTGACCGAGGCTCGAAGAAGCAGAGAGATTGCTCAGCTCAAAAAGGACCAGCGGAAGAGAGACGTGAGTACGCTGTGTCCGCGGGTCCTCTGCCTCGGCAAGGTTATGTCCTAAGTGGAGGAAATGTTTCTGACTGTATTAAGTATAAGTGGAGGACAGAAAATAAGCATGAGTTACAGAAAAGGATATTTAATACAGTGTGTGGTCGTAGTGATTCATGAAAGCTCAAGGTGGATTCATTGCTAGGTATTCTTGTAAATGTCCTGGGGAAAACAGCCAGTCTTTGCTAGAAGATACTTTGCCGATAACGTTTTTTTTGCCCTTTGACTTTAGAATTCTACTTCCATAATTCAGATTTTAAAAAATCTAAAATCAGAATAAGTTCTCATTTTGTTAAAATCTTCACTTTTAAGTTACATTTTATTTATTGTGTGTGTGGGTGTATATGTGTGTGTGTTTATATGTATGAACACATGTGTATATGAATGTGTGTGTATGGATGTATAAATGTGTGTCTATGTATGAATGCCATGGTGTACAAGTGGAGGTCAGAGGGCCACCTGTGGGACTGGGGTCTCTCCTGCACCACGTGTGTCCTACCACTGAGGACCCACTGAGCGTTACCCACTGAGCTTTGCTGGCCTGAAATCTTCACTTACGCTTATTTGTGTTTTCCCCTCATTTTTTTATTAGTTCTTTGAGAATTTCACACAGTGTGCTTTGATCATATTTATCTCCTCAGCTCCTTTAGGTCCACCCCCTTTATGCTTATTTGTAATTGTGGAAATATGTATTGCTTGACATTAGAGGAATTGGTTAAATAAACAGTGAGGTGTCCCATTTAACAGGTTGTTATTCATCCATTAAAAATTTGAATTTGTCCAGCATGGATGGGCCCCACCCTAGCTAAGGAACTATGGCAAATTAATGGCTGCTGGGGAGGGGAAGGTCATTTTTCTTCAGGACTGTGGCTACTGGTAGGCTGCCATGCCCTAGTGGATGACCCATACTCATGTACATATGGTAGACTGAGTGGGGTAGAAGCAAAGACATAAATACAAAAAACAATAAAAACTTAAAAGATATGAAGTTGGAAGGAGATGTATTGGGGAGAGTTTCTGGGGGGAGCTGGATGAAGGTTAGGGGTAGATATGATCAAGATACATTGTATACTTGTATGAAATTTCTAAGACTAAATAAAAATATTCTTAAAATTTATGTTTGAGAATTTCATAGAGAAGTATTATATTTGCACTGTTTCTATCCCTCCCAGTCCCCTCCAGGTCCTCCCATGTCCTCCTGACTCCTTCTCAATTTCTTGTTCTCTTCTTTGATTTTATTGGTACATACATTAAAAAAAAATGCACCGAGTCCATTTAACGGTGCTCCTGTGGACCTGTGTTCAGGGCTTGCCCACTTGGGTCGCCTCTGAGGGAGCTGGTCGGTAGAGAAAACTGATTCTCCCTCAGCATCCATTGATGGCTTGTAGCTTTTCTTCTTAAGGTGGGACCTTGTGAAATTTCCCCCATATGCCTCAGTACGTGAGCATGTAGATCTTGTTAGACTACCATGCTGTGGAGGTTTCATTGGCATAGCTCTGTCATGTCCAGAGTGCACTGACCAGCAGCAGGTGTCGTGCCCCTCTGGCTCTTATATTCTTTCTGCTTCCTCTTCTAGAATGTTCCCTGAGCCTTAGGTGTAGATTTAAAAATTGAATTTGGATACGGAACAGTTATATGAAAGATAAATGCAATTTACTACCAAGTGTAAACTAGCACTTAATACATGTATGCTAGGCCAGACTAGGGAAAAGATTTGAAGAGTTAGTACCACTATGCTACCTGTGGTCATGATAGGGTTATAGATAATGGTTGATCATTTTCCCTTCTTTCCAAATTTTTAGCAATATGGTGTTTATTTAAAATTAAAAAGTGTATTAATGATTTACTCTTTTAAGGAGTGGTCATCACCCCATTATTGTTCAGATTTCAGCCATTGTTCTTTTCTCGTGCTAATTTTTCCTGAATCCTCCCTGAAAAAATATAGTTATAAATTATATTTAGAAAATGAGCCATATTGGGTTATAAAGAATAAACTTAAGAAGATATAAGAAAGTTATGATAGAAAAGTAGATATTTTGTCCAAATGACACAGGCTTGTGGCTGTTTCTGTCCCACAAGTATATTTATATATTTTAAATAATTAGTATACTAGTCATATTCAATTTCTAGACATTTCAGATTTTGTTTATATGATTTGTTTCTACTCAAGAGCACATTTAAACATTGCCTGTTCTTTCTGCTGTCGTAAAAAAATTCGAGGTGTAATTAATGTTTCATAAAATTCATCATTTTAAAATGTACATGCCAGATTTTTACAGTGTTCATAAATTATGCAACAGTCATTACTGTCTAGGAACTAGAGAGATGGCTTCATGGTTAAGAGCACTGGCTGCTCTTGCAGAGGACACGGGTCCAATTCCCAGCAACCACATGGTGGCTGACAACAATCATTGGTGTCTAGTTCCAGAATATCTTGATGATTCTAAAAAGAGACACTGTCTCCACTACCTGTCACTTTCATTGCTCCGTGACCTGTGACAGCCAGGAAACTACTCTCTGTTCCTGTGCATTTGCTTGTTAGGACATTCTGTAAATGGAACCCTACGATATAGTCTTTTGTCTGGATTCTGTCACTTAGTATGTCATTTTCATGGTTCACCTTGCTGTAGCAAAGCTGATATTTCCTTCTTTTGTGTGGATAGAACATTTTTATTCGTTATTCATCAATTGATAGGCATTTGGGATGTCTATTTTTTGGCTGTTTATTGTATTTTTATTCAACAGTTTTGGATGACAGAAATAATTTTTTTACAGTATATACTGTATTGATTATATGTATGAAATATAGAAAGTCCAGTATTGACTCCAGTATTGACAAATAACTCCTGGAATGGAACTTTCGCATCTTATCTGTAGCGTCTGATGCCTATATTCTGTCCACAATCTGAATAATCTTCAGCTTTGTCCTCCACTCCTTTGGTGTTTGAGACAGGGTTGTATGTGGACCAGGCCGGCCTTAAACCCTCATCGTCCTGTCTCAGCCTCCTGAGTGCTGGGTTACAGGTGTACACCACAATAACTGGCAAGATTTGTTTTTTGGATCTAGACAATAACGATTGTTGTTAGCCACCATGTAGGTGCTAAACTACACGTTTAATTTTGGGTTTTTTATTCATTTAAAAGTAGATTTAGCTTTGCTTCTCTGTCAGTTGTTGCAGTATACCATGTGACTGCAGGAGGTCATGAAATGGACACTTTTGAATTTGGGACATGAATGTAAGGGATTTTTATTACATACCAAATGAAGTTTTAGAAGAGATGTTGCAGTCAAGTCCAACACCTAAGCCTTTGCAAAGATCACAGAGTTGAGTAAATGACAGATCAAGAATAAGGAGGTCTATATTCCTTTTCAGTCAATTTTTAAAAAAAATTATGTCCTTTTAGGATGGGTTGATGTAATCCTTAATTATCTTTATCACCTAGTGTACTTAGAAACAAATTGGCCATCATACTGACATGTTTTAGTGCCCAATTACCCATTATAATGAAATTCCCAGTTATTATAAGGTGCTAATTGCATTAATATATGTTTTCCCTGTGTTTAAAAGTTTATACTTTTTGTATATATTGAAAGATGACTACTGAAAATAGTCATGTTTTTTCCTATTTGTGCTCAGTCAACACTTCAAAGAAAATAAGAATTGATTAAGAAATATTTGTAAAGCACATGGAAAGTACTTGTACATAATAAGCTCTACAGTGGTAGTTAAATACAAGCACAAGGCACAGAAGTAATGTTCCATTGTTTAGGTAGAGATGGCTATTTCAGTGAAGTATTATTACATTTTATGTATGTATGTATGTATCTATGTATGTTGTATGTATGTGTCTGTCATCCATCCATCTATCTATCTGTGTGTTTGGGCATGCACATGCCATGGTGCACATGTGGAAGTTAGAGAATAGTTTTCGAAAATCAGTTCTTTCCTCCCCCATGTGGTTTCAGGGACTCAAACTCAGGTCTTCAGGCTTGGTGGCAAGCGATATACCTGCTGCCATTTACCTGCTGAATCATCTTGCTGGCCCAGAGATGGCTACTTGTGTGTGTTTGTGTTTGCTAAATTAAAGTAGCTGTATGTGGATAATGGATAAAAGGTTATTAACTCAGCTTATGCTAAGAACTCAAATTTCCAGGGCTCAGAGGAAGTGTGTTAGGCTAGGAGTAGGAAACACTAGGCTTTGGCTCACCATTTCAACTCACTGAATGTTATTTTGTAGCATCAACTTAGACTGCTGGAAGCCCAGAAGAGAAATCAAGAAGTAGTCCTTCGACGCAAAACTGAAGAGGTACATTTGGAAGAAACATTCCTACTTTTTTTTTTCTTTTTTGGTGGTGTTGGGGTTTGAATTCAGGGTCGTGTGCATGATAGACAAGTGTTCTACCGCTGAGCCATACCTAAGCCCTGAAAAATGCATTTCTTCAGACTGACAGCGTGAATCAACCTCTGATACTCTTCAGGTTACAGCTCTTCGTCGGCAAGTAAGGCCCATGTCTGATAAAGTTGCTGGGAAAGTCACTCGGAAGGCCAGCTCATCCGAAAGCCCTGTTCAGGACATGGGTTCCGGGGCAGCTGCTGTGGAAACAGATGCATCAAGGGCAGGCACCCAGCAGAAAATGAGAACCCCCGTGGCAAGAGTCCAGGCATTACTACCAACACCCACAACAAACGGAACCAGGTCCTCTTGATTCCTCTGTTCTTACTGATATAAGCCAGATGGCCCTTCATACTGAATGCTGTGCATAAATGAAACAGTTCTCATTATTGGTTGTGCTCAGTCAAATAAAGGCATGAGTACTTATATTTGTGTGTTGTAAATGATTACAGGAAGAAATACCAGAGGAAAGGATTGACTGGCCGGGTGTTCACTTCCAAAACAGCCCGCATGAAGTGGCAGCTGCTGGAGCGCCGGGTCACCGACATCATCATGCAGAAAATGACCATTTCCAACATGGAGGCTGACATGAACAGACTTCTCAGGGTGCGGGAAGTAGAAACTGGGCACACGCTCCATAGCTGACCGCAGCTTCTTTCTTCCACGTTTGGTCCTTGGAAGCATTTAATGTCTACTAAGGTGTTGTTTTGTCTCTGTCCTGCCTAAGAGTAGATGGGCATCATTAAAATTCAACCTGCTTTATCCATAGCAACGGGAAGAACTCACAAGAAGACGAGACAAGCTTTCGAAAAAAAGAGAGAAGATGGTGAAGGAGAGTGGAGAGGGAGAGAAGAGCGTGGCCCACATCAGTGAGGAGATGGAGTCCCTCACTGCCAATATCGATTACATCAATGACAGCATTGCAGATTGCCAAGCCAACATCATGCAAATGGAAGAAGCAAAGGTGTGTGCCTTGAAAGGGTGGCATTCTGTTGTTGCCTATTTGTTTGCTTTGAGAGAGAGTCTCTAGCCTGGTTGGCCTCAGGTTCTGTGTGCGGATGAAGATGACCCTGAAATTCTGGTCCTCCTGCCTCTCCCTCCCGGGTACTGGGATTTTAAGATCTTTCAAGATCTTAAGCAATATTTAATAGCCTAAGAGAAAGTATTTTATATTATGTATCTTTAAAAGAATTTTGAATTTTTTCTGGGTATGGTGGCTCATGCCTTTAGTCCCAGCACTCCAAGGCAGAGGCAGGCGGATCTCTGTGAGTTCAAGGCCAGCCTGGTCTACATAGCAAGTTCCAGACCAGCTTACAGACCAAAAAAAACAAAAAAAGTATTTTGAAATTTTTAAGCTATTTATTTAATAACCATATAATCAGAAGAAGCATTTCATTATAACAGCATTGACATATTCAATAACAATTTCCAGAACTAAGATGCATCTCCTTCAAAATTGGCTGTAAATTTTTATGTTTACAGTTGAATTAATACAGTTATACAATGTTGTACTCAGTATAAACCCTATAAGACATAAAATTAAATGAGGTTTTAACCTTTAAAAAAGATCTCCATTTCATCACTTTTAGTACAATTGACACTAAGATGCATATGCGTTTCTAATCTCTATATATCTGATTATTACTAGTCACAGTTGGTTACTTTCTGTGCTCCTTGCCATCTGAGCATGGATATGAAAGAATTTTTTACTTATTAATCTGAAGTTAAGTTTTACATGTAGAGTATTTACTGCCTCCTTCCTGATTTCTCTACTGACTTTGTGATACTCTTTATCGTATTACATATATGATTTATTGTGTCCTTTCCATTTGTAGTTGTTCAAATGTGTCTGTTTTCAACTAGAACATTTAGTGCAGGAATCACGTGTTACGTGTTTCTGAATAGCTTCATTGGGTTATACAGTTACTGTCAAATACATGCGTTAGCCTCTGGCCTTCTGTGCAGACTCAAGTACTGATCGTTACACACTGGTTTCATGTAGGAAGAGGGTGAGACCCTGGATGTCACTGCGGTCATCAATGCCTGCACTCTTACAGAAGCCCGCTACCTGCTGGATCACTTCCTGTCCATGGGTATCAATAAGGTGAGATTTAACTATCCTGTTCCTGAACCCTAAGTTTTGCTCAATTCATTTGCCATATCTCTCTCCAGAAATCCTCCTCTTGGAAATAGCAAACAAGGTTCTTAGCTAAAAAAATTTTTTTTCCCATAGAGCTTTAAAAAAATGTCAGCAACATTTACATCAGTCTCACCGGCTCGTCCTCTATCATGCTGTGGATTACAATGAAGTACTACTACTTTTGCTTTAAAAAAGGAAAGATTCTCAGAGGAAATGAATTTTTTTTTTTATCACAGTTGACTTAACACTGATTCTGTACTCCTCTAAAGAAAATCAGGGGGGGAAAATATAGTAGCAACCCAGTCTTTTAAATGTAAACACAGCACCTTGTCACCTGGAGGAAACTCCTTCCCAAATGTAGGTGGACACAGCTGTGTTCTCACTCTCTACATCAAAAGAGTAGGTACTGATCCACAGCGTGCTACACACACTGAAACTGAGACCCCAGAAGATGGTATCTTAGACAGGGAAGTGCTAAGATCACCTACCTAAGTAGGTGGAGGAGCATCAAGGTCTGTCTGATGTTAAAGTCCATATAGCTCGGGCGTTTTCACGTGGTGGGTTTTGTTATGTATGATGTTAGTCATTGTGCTGCTGTGGTTGGTGTTTCAGGGTCTCCAGGCTGCCCAGAAAGAGGCTCAAATTAAAGTACTTGAAGGTCGACTCAAGCAAACTGAAATAACCAGCGCTACACAAAACCAGCTCCTATTCCACATGTTAAAAGAGAAAGCAGAACTGAATCCCGAGCTGGATGCCTTACTAGGCCATGCTCTGCAAGGTAATTTGGGTGATGTTTGGGTAAACCACTAGCATGATAGCTTTGCTCTTTGGACATGCCGCCTACATCTTCCTCTGTGACTTGTTTGAATAGATGCTATACTTATGCTTTTAATAATTATTCTTTCTTTAATTTGCATGTGTATGTAAATTGGGGGGAGTAATTATTGTCATTCTAAGAAACAGTTACCAACTTTACAAGGGTGTTTAACTTTATAAACTAGTTAGTTGTTACAGATAAAGGACACAAGGCAGGTTTCTGAATTGGTTATTTAAATTACTTAAAAGATTAACCAAGGATCATAACTTTACTCTGCATCCCTAACTGCCCTAAAGCACGCTGTTAAATGTTTGTTATGGCATCTATTCTGTGTTTATGAAAAAAGGTACGCAGTCTTGTGTTATGTGCGAGTTTTTAACGTTGGATCTGTTTTGATTGGAGTATTGCTTTTGTCTCCTTCTGCGGTTGTTGACACAGATCTAGGTAGCGTTCCACCGGGTGAGTACGTTTAGCTTTCTGTGTACCCGACAGTTGCATGGATTACTAATTGTTCGTGTGCACTAATTGTGGTACAGATTGTAAACATTTTATTGGCAGCCTACTGGTTTTTTGCATGATCTTTTGAAATGTATTCAGGATAAAAAAATACTAAGTTTCTGTCTTCATTAAACTGTCTTAATTTTACAATTCTTGGATGTTTAAAGATGCGTGCTTTAGCTAATAATAGTCTTTTGTTATTTGAGTGCCAATTATGGCTTGGTTCCATAAATCCTTTCTCTTCCTTGTGGAAAAACATAGAATATATATTCCTTTTTAATTTAAAATATATGTTAACTTGCATCCATTGTTTTAACCCCATAAATAACTTTGTTTTGTATACATTCTTATCTAGTCCTATTAAAATAAAATTAGGCATCATTTTTATAAATTGAAGAAACTATAGAGACTTTGAGTATCTTGAGTATGTTTCTAATCAAATATATTTTCAAGCTAGAAGAGGCTTTAGAGGTCACTGCATAGAATTTTTGATCTTTCTCTCATTCCTGTCTGACTTCCACTATGTACCCATTGTTGGTCACCTCTTTGCTTCCTTTTAGTGATGATATGTATAGAGCCAGGAGTACTGGAGAAATTTTATTACTTGTGATAGGTTAGAATGATAATTTTGGAACAGTTTTTATTTAATTAGAATTATTTAGAAATATGATCACATCTTTTTTTTTCTTAATTATAAAAGTGCTAAAACTTTTCTAAATGTTTATCCTTAAAGGAGGGATGATAACCAAATGATTAAATGTGATTACCTCTCTGTGTCAGACTAAACACAGCCTATGACTCCAGACTTCGAATGATAAACTCTTATACAAAATAATACTGCATTGTTGTCAAAATAGTATTTTCTTCAGATCAACTGCATTGTATATAATATAATGCAGATTTGGAAAAGCTATTTTTTCAAGCTCCTCAGGCTATGACAAGGGTTAATAAAAGTCTGGTTAGGAACAGTTAGGCTCGATCAGAAGGATTTGTGTCCGGCTCTCAAGCACCTGCTGTTGTAGGCAGCATCGTCATCCTCTGTGTGCTGCCCATCAGTCCCCCCACTTCCTCCCCTCCCTTCTGTCCTTCCCTTTCTCCCCCACTTCCTCCTCTTCTTTCTCCGCTGTTTTTTTTACCCCTTTTCCGCTCTTGCTTTTTCTTCCTGTCCTCCCTGGTCCTCCCAAGTCCTCTCTGGTCCTCCCAAGTCCTCCTGAGTCCTCCCTGATCCTCCTGGAGTCCTCCCTGGTCCTCCCTGGTCCTTCCTAGTCCTCCCAGATCCTCCCTAGTCCTCCCTGGTCCTCCCTGATCCTCCCTAGTCCTCCAGGGTCCTCCCTACTCCTCCCTGTTCCTCCCGGGTCCTCCCTGGTCCTCCCTAGTCATCCCTGGTCCTCCCTAGTCCTCCCAGGACCTCCCTGGTCCTCCCTAGTCCTCCCGGGCCCTCCTTAGTCCTCCCAAGTCCTCCCTGGTCCTCCCTAGTCCTCCCAGGTCCTCCCTGATCCTCCCTAGTCCTCCCAGGTCCTCCCTAGTCCTCCCTGGTTCTCCCGGGTCCTCCCTGGTCCCCCCTGGTCCTCCCAGGTCCTCCCTTGTCCCCCCTGGTCCTCCCGGGTCCTCCCAGGTCCTCCCCGGTCCTCCCAGGTCCTCCCGAGTCCTCCCTGGTCCTCCCGGGTCCTCCCTGGTCCTCCCAGGTCCTCCCGCTTTCTTTTCCTCTTCTTCTCCTCCTTGCCTGTGTTCATCTTCTGTTCTTAGTTCCTGAATTTAATGTACATTGTGTAGTATAGAAAAAAGAAAAATTCTTAGTGCCTCTTGTGTAGAAAAATATCAGACTGCTTATTTGATTAATATTGTTAGTTTTTACAGCTTTCTGACTATAGTTTGCAGAAGGATTAGAAAGAGAGAGTGAAAATGTTGTCATTTGACAGAACCTGGCACTCAGGGAAGAAAATTTCCCCAGAGATTAGGGCCATAATGGAAGGAGAAAGAAAATCGGTATTAAACTGCAGAGTTAGACAGTCATAGATCTACCTTTGTATGTCCTAAACATTGAGGCTGGTGACTGGATTCAGAGGTTATTTCAACACCAATCATTTCCTTATGAACTGTATGCCCTACTGAGGTGACACAAGTTTATGACTTAGTACACACAGGCCATAACTCAGGTAAATACATAGTACTGGACTCCAGAGTGGAACCACTAGAAAAGAATGCAGGTATTGATGAAGGCCTTCTTGAGGATGTCACACTTGAGCTGATGGATGAAAGAAAGAGGAAGAGGGGAGGGTAGCACAAGCTAAGGACTGAGATACAGCATGTGATTCACCATCAGGTCGGTGCTGTGCAGCAGACACGGCACAGAGACGAAACTTAAGGTTCCAGGCTGTGCCAGGGCCAATACCCCTTACCAGGCTTATAATCTTACAGCCTTGGAAGAACGTTTTTATCCTTTTTATCCCCCCCTCTATAAAGATTTGCTAGAAGCCTCGTGGAGCTCAGCATAGAGTTATATTTGTGGCTAAGATTTGTTGAGAACAGGGTGGTAGGGATATAAGATCCAGATGAACCTGTAGGAGTCTGTGTACAGGCTTCCCTTGCTGTTTCTCATCCATGAGTGTCACACGACGAAGGCCCGTGGAACAAGTGTGGCACTGTTTGTACCGAGGAAGTCCATTCAACATTCATCACCTGAGGTTTTACTGGGGGAGGGGGCGGTGTTCAGAGGCTGGTGTGTAACATGTACCAGACGCTAGACCCCCAGAAGGAAAGCAAGTGTTCAGCATCAGCCATGTGTTTGCACAACCTAGGCCCAGTGAGTACCCTGCATTGGTTCAGTGTTGACCAGGGATACCCTGAGAGCTAAGTTTTCTGAAGTCAGCCAGAGTGTACGTAGGGCTGCAAGCAGGCGTTTCTAAAGGTAGCAGTCACAGGCTTGCTGTTTTAGTTCCTCTCCATACACTACATTTTAGTATAAAGACATACCTTTTATTTTAAAAATTTATACAAACCCACCTGTTTGGTTAACTTTCAATGAAGTTAAATTGTGAAACTGATCCCTGGTATGAGTCAGCATCAGGACCCGTGGGAATTGTCTCCTTTCATCTGAACGCTGCTGTAACGAGAAATGCACATCTGGTGGCCCTTGGCTTGTGCTAAATTTCAAGAACTGAGAATATTACTGAGATGATGGTGTGTCTGGCTGTCCGGCTGCCAGTGTTTACATCATTTTCAGTCGTTAAGGCATGTCTAGGTTGCTGACTGCCTGGAGTGCCACCCTCTTCATTCTGGCAGGTTGCTTATGTCAAAATATAATCATCTCTCTGTAAGGCACACATATTTTTTACTAAGTAAACTCCCACTTAAAGTTCTACACGAGCAAATCCTAGCTTGCTTATGTACGCAAGGAAACAAGCTAGACTTGACATTTCTTTGTAAACTTATTCACTAATTCAGTCATCTTAGCAGTTGAATTATCCTAAGATTGAGCCCTTGAGCCTCCTTAGAATTGTTGATTTGAGATATACATTGCCTTCAAGATGACCATTCATTTAAAACGTGAACTTCCTCGATGTGGGTCCTAGATGTGGTTCCATTTGGACTGATAATATCAAATATTACTAAACTTCTGTAAAGGTTTGTGCTGAGTGGATGAAGGAAGGGCACATTTGATGAGACATATTAGGTGATTCACATACCACAGTGACATATGAAACTATAAAGGGCAAATCCTATGTTTCCTATGTATAGATACTAGAGTATCACATAGAGGTATCATAATACCTCTAATTTTATGAATGATTTTATAATGGCATTATGTATTTTAAAAACCTGTATCTGTGTTAAGGACTTGCTGACAATTGTGTTTTTTTGTAGCAGATTTTTTTTTCTTGACTTACTACTAGTTTTATGTATGGTTTCCTCATTTCTTCTAGTCTGCTAAAAATGTTGGCCTGATGTGGCAGTGGCTTATTTACTGTAGTTTATAGGCCGGTTGCATGCAAACGTGTATGTTTTGTCGTTGTCTCTTCTGTACCTGTGAATGAGATGCATGCTCACATGTGATTTCAGAGTGTCTTCATTTATAGTCTTTCTACTTGAAGGCAAAAATTTAAAAACGTTAAAAAGGAAAAGTATTTAAGTACATTGCCATAGCTGGTGCAGTGCAGTAAGAATGTGTTTGTTGTGTTGGCAGTTGTCCCAGGGCACCAGCCGAAGGTCGGGAAGTATTTGTTGTAACCTTCAATTTTTAATCAGTGGATCTGTGTGTTTGGGTAGGTCAATAGCATACAAAGTATTTATATAAATAACCTTATGCACTCAGATGATTCATAATCTAATCCCCGTTCTACAAATGCTACTCTTCCATGTTTCACCGCTCTGATTCCTGGTTCCTGGACTGAACATGTTTCTCCTCCTCTTAGGAAAAGCAATGAAAGGAGTTTCTTAGAAATAATTTCTATGGTTCTGTTTGTTTGGCTTTATCAGTTGAAACCAAAGTGCCCATGTTGAGATGCTGAGCTGTTGTGTGTGTATTTAGCGTAGGGACTGTGGTCACATTCAGCTTGTATAACACTTGCATTATTTGCTTTTTGTAGAAAATACAGAGGATAGCCCTGATGAAGATGCACCTCTGCACAGCCCAGGGTCAGAAGGAAGGTAGGAGCACCTCTAGAGGCTGAGCAGACTTATTTGTATGAGATTTTTTTAAAGGTCTATTTAGTTTTCATAATGTGGACTTGCGTTGGGGTAGGGGAAATGTGTGTATGTGAGTACAAGTGCCTGCAAATACCAGAGGAGATTGTTGGATCTCCTGGAATGGAGTTATAGACACTTGTGAGCCGCCTGATATGGATATTGAGAGCCAAACTCAGGTCCCTTACAGGAGCAGTATGCCCTCTTAACTGCTGAGTCATCTCTCCAGCCCATTCCATACCATTTTAAGAACTTGAATCTTGGGGGAGAGATGGCTCAGCAGTTAAGAGCACTGACTGCTCTTGGAGAGGACCTGGGTTTGGTTCCCAGCACCCACATGGCAGCTATGAACAGTCTCTAACTCCAGTTTCAGGGCTCCACCATACTCTTCTGACCTCTGTGGGCACTGCACAACACGAGTGCACTTGCATGCATGCAGGCAATACGCTCATACACATAAAGAATGAAAATAACAAATAAAATACTTACAAAAAACCCTTGAATCTTGGGGGTTGGAGATGGCTCAGTGGTTAAGAGCACTGGCTGCTTTTGCAGAAGACCTGGGTTTGGTTCCCAGCACCCACATGGCAGCTAACAACCATCGGTGACTCTCCAATTCCAGGGGATCTGATGTCTTCATCGGGCCTCTGTGGACATTGCATGTGCCCTTACACATATGCAAGGAAAACACTCATACGCAATAAATAAAAATTAAAAACAAAACCAAAAAACTTGAATCTTGTACAGTGTACCCTGAGCCTTACATGTAGGGATTGCATTGCAAATTTATCAGTTAGGGCTAGAAACCACACAATTACCTATTAGGATACCTGCTACTCCACAGTACAGTCTAGGTGTAATAGAGAAGCTGCACCCATGAAATCTCCACAGTATGGTAGCCTAACAAGACCTGAATAATGCCAGCACCAGCTGAAAGTCCAGGGTGGGTGGGAAAAATTTCACAGGGTCTCACCTCAAGGTGAAGAGCTACAGTTAGTCAATGGATGCTGAAGGAGGGACAATCAGTTTTCCCCAGGGATGAGACCCCTGATAGATTATCTAATCCCAAGTGGTCATCCATAAATATATGTATACAGGAGCGCCACTAAATGGACCCAGTACATTTTATATATGCGTGTATGTATATTTACAAATGTATGTATGCTGTAACAGAACAGAAATAATCAAAGAACAGGACAAGAAATTGAGAGGAATGGAGGACATGGATGGGAAGTGGAAGGGGGGATGATGCGAATACAATACTCATGTATGAATTCGCAAAAAATAAAAAAATTATATAAACTTGAATCTCATTGCATCGAACAATTATTATAAAATAGAAATAATTTTGAATTTTATGGTCAGGGTGATAGCCTTAGAAACCAGTACAGAAGCCAAACAAATTCATGTATAACCATGGTAAATTTTAAAGGAAAAACATAGGAATATTTAAAGAATAAAAAATTGATTTTTAATAAATTTGTCTTGATTTTTATATGCTGTCTTTCTGTGTTTTCCATAGGCATGATTTTTTTTCATAGTGGAAGCATACAGGACATACAAGTCTATATAATAAGTTTGAATTTAATCTCATGCTTAACCCCTTATCTCTGTACAGCACACTGTCTTCAGACCTTATGAAGCTCTGTGGTGAAGTAAAACCTAAGAACAAGGTAAGGAGAATTAAAAGTACCAGGTAACGTTTGACCACTACTCTCTGTCAGCATTATTGAAGTGCTTCAGATTTGTCTCTCAACAGCATAGTGGTGAGCTTGCTTTTAGCCTAAGTTTTCCATTTGTAAGAAATTTATTTGTTCTATTCCTCACAAGCGATCATTGAAAAAAAATTTGGAAAATTTTCTCTGTTGAAACTTTTACTATATCCTCACAGTGTTTCCACCTGATAAAATATAAGAGGCGGGTGTCTAAACTTGCTCAGCCAAGCAGCAGACTCTGCAGTAGCCACAATGGAAACCATTCCGATTGGCAGAGCACTTTTGAAATTTAAGCACAGTTTGTTCTTAAGTATTTATTTTTTTTTACTTTGGTCTTTTTGAGACAGGGTCTCCTTGTAGCCCCAGCTGTCCTGGAACTCACTATGTAGACCAGGCTGGCCTCAAACTCAGAGAGATCCACCTGCCTCTGCCTTCCAAGTGCTGGGACTAAAGGCGTGTGCCACCATGCTTGACTCTTAGTATTTCTTATTTATTTTGTTTAGTGTTCTGAGATGATTTGAATATTAAAAACTTCTGAGTCTATAATGTATAGTGATAGGATTTTTAAAACTCTAAATGATCTGCTATTAAATGTGCAGGAATCACATGGCCCTTTTGAGATCATATATGGTTGCATTGGATGTTAGATGAATTAACTAATGATATTAAGATGTTGGAAAACAAAGAATTCTTGCAATGCTTAGTAAATGTTTGTTGAATGAATGTGTAGAATCACAACTTGAAAAGTAATACTGTACAAATGGATACAATAGTTTTAAGGCCTGTGGTGGTTAATCAGTAATTGAATAATTTGGCTCTTCAATGAGTGGGAGAAGGGATCAGGAGTCACTGTGTTTACTTGGAAGGAGCATATATCCTGTTCAAGCAGTAAGCCACCACCATGTCCTGGGCATTTTTTTCATGTAGGAATATGGGTCAAAGGTTACCAGATGCCCCCCCCCCCGGAAGTCTTAAACATGGATTTTTGTGTAGAATTTCTTTATCTTTAAAATACTTGGAGAGCTAATGAAAATGTGTCTGTCAACTCTTTTGTATGATCTCAGTTTGAGTACTGGTTTGTCGGTTTGTAGTTTGTATTTTGTTCCAAATGATCAAATATTCTGCTAAAACTCAGAGAAACATTCCAATGTCGATCCGGCCTAAGCAGAGGAGAGAGTCTTTTAAGGTTACTTTCGTCTTTGGGGCTTGTGGAAACCTACTCGGTCAATCTATTTGGCCTGTGCGATGCTTGAGAGTTGTGAGGTGCTCTAAAAGTCATCTGAAAACACCGGCTAGGAATTACCAAGGAAAAGTTGCCCTCAGCCCTAGGACCCTTGCAGTGGGAGGGATTGAAAGTCTGAAAAGTGTCTGCAGGGCCTTCCCTTCCGAAGCTCTCTCTGTTTGCAACTTTTGAACTGTGAATATGTTTCAAAGATCTCATGACATTTCCTTTTCATCCCTTCAACAAATGAAGTTGATTTTGAGATTGGAATCAGGCCTGTACCAGCAGTGTGTTAACTGCAGAAAATGGAAAGTCATATCTGACAAAGTGACTGCCCTCTGGGGACTTAGCATCTGATGAAAACTGTGATCATCTGCTAACACTTAGGGGCCCTTACAGCCAGCCCTGTGCAGTAGCAATGTGTTTACTTGATTTTCAAGAGCAAGGCAAGGAATGGATTTGCATTTCAGGAGAATAACTTCTACCTGCCTCACCAAATACCAAAAGTAGGTGTTGTCTGGTTGTTGAATGACCCAGTGGGCAGATTTAACTCATATTTAGGGCATCAGGAAAGAAGGGTTACAAACACTGAAAATAAAATCAAAACTTCATACTAAACATTTAAACATGGGCGAAGAAAGAATTCAGCTGTGCTTCCCTGCAACAGACCTTCTGGCTTAGCGCCTCCCTCCACCTCTCCCTTTCTTCCTTACTTACATTTCTTTTCTTTCTTTTTAAAAGCCGTTAAATGCTAAGGGAGCTTGTCGCTTTTAGCTGGACGGCACAGTGATGCTGCAGGGAGATCACCTGGCTTTGACTGGTTTCATCACTTCTATTTGAATGACCGTGGGCAGATTTTTACCATCACCGTGCTTTCGTGTCCGTATTTGTGAATCAGGGTTACCTAGCCACAAGTGGTGTAGCACAGGCTAGGACTGTCCCTGGCACTTCGGTGCAGTCCAAATACTGGCTCTTGTTGTGGCCTTGCGAGGCCCCATCTGCTCTAGTGCTGCTTGTCACACTCTCACGTGCTCTGTTTGACACAGCTGCAAGGGGAAGATACTCTAAATGTTGTTACCTATTTGACACCAATAAAAATCTCTGTTCCCTAATCAAATTCTATGCAGAAGTTTGCTCCTGATTGCTTTTCCTTCCGTTCTCTAATCAGGCCCGGAGGAGGACCACCACTCAGATGGAACTGCTGTACGCAGACAGCAGTGAACTAGCTTCAGACGCTAGTGCAGGAGATGCCTCCTTGCCTGGCCCTCTTACACCTGTTGCCGAAGGGCAAGAGATTGGGATGAATACAGAAACAAGTGGTACTTCTGCTAGGGACAAAGAGCTTCCTTCCCCGCCTGGCTTACCTTCTAAGATAGGCAGCATGTAAGTCTTGCAGCTGTACTAACTTCCTGCCTTTTTTTTTTTTTAATATGCATGTTGCTAATTTCTTATCTCTGTATTTTTTACAAAAAATAGATCAATTTCTGGATTTCACAGTAATTTCTATTAGTAATTAGGTATTATTGATCTGTGTGTGTGTGTGTGTGTGTGTGTGTAGGCCTTAAGTTGATGTTAGGTGTCCTAATCAAGCACTTTTCATTCTGTGTATTGAAGCAGGTCTCTCACTGAGCCCAGAACTCACTCTTTAGGCAAGTTTGTTGTTCGAGTTCCCTGGCTCTGCCTTCCTTGGGCTGGATTGTAGAAGGACCCGCCACTGACCCATCTTTTATGTGGGTTCTGGGTGTCTGGATTTTGTTTGTAATACTTGTTCAGTATAAGCACTTTGCCTGCTGAGGGGTCTCCCCAGCCCAGCCCATTTTGTGTTCAGTCAAAATGTTTTGTTCTGTTTTTTAAATTTTTTTTTATTTTTGTGATTTTTCATACAACATAATTTGATGGTATTTAGGTTCCTTCTCCTATTTCCATCCTTTATTGCCCCCACCCAATTTAATGTACTCATATATATATATATAAATTAATTATAATATATATACATATATATACATTCTGTAGAGTAACTTGTGTCTTCCAGTGTCCTTCAGTGTGAGTCCACCCACTGGGAAATGTTCTTTGTTGAGTTGCTTTGTTTTGTATCTAAATTTTAGAATCATTCTAAAGACTTAAAATTATAGACAACTTATTTACAAACACACCTAATTTAGGTTAAACTTATACAAATAAAATCATTATATATAAGCAGAAGCTCTAAAGACTCAAATTATCTATGTCCTAATTCTAATAGCCTGATAGGATAGTACTTTTTTTTTTTTCTTCTTTTTGAGACAGGGTCTCCTTGTAGCCCCAGCTGTCCTGGAACTCGCTATGTAGACCAAGCTGGCCTTGAACTCACAGAGATCCGCCTGCCTCTGCCTCCCAAGTGCTGGGATTAAAGGCAATGTGCCACCATGTCTGGCTAGGATAGTAATCCTTCACCAAGTCTTTTAAGGGAAAGAAAAAAGACTAATTATAAACTTCATACATTTTGAGTTTTCCTAGCTTATTGCCCTGAATCTCATAGTATTTCTGGATGAATATCAGCACGAAGTATTTTTGTTGTCATTAAAGAGTTGAAGAAGGGGACAGTTTCTCTACTGAAAAACAGCAATAACAACAAAAATCCCCTTTTCTCAGAACAAATCTCATCTAGATTTCTTTTTCATTTTTTATTTTGGCAGCAAAGAGTTCCCTACACAGTATGTGTGCATACTTTGTGTGTGTGTGATTTTTGGTAGTTCCATTAATATTAGACCATCATTTCACTTGTAAAGTGTTTAATGGCATCTTTGCAAACTAACCTCACATATAATCTAGCAAATGGTTTCTGATAGCAATGCAGTTTATGAGAACTACTACCCCAACACAGGGCTTGGCAAATAATCCAAAATAACAAACCTCCCACATGTGAGTATCCATTTCCCATAATTCTCTTCATTTCATGAAGGTATTTCCATTTCTTCCATTCAGTAATCCATCTGCTACCTTTAGTTCAAAATTAATTTGAATGATGACAGAATGTCTTTGCATGTGCTTGAGGTAGCTTACGTAACTAGTGTTGGCTACGGCTAACCACTGTAGCCACGCTGTGGGTTAGGATGAGCATAGAAGAAAGCCTTTGGTGAAGGGGACAGAGGAAAAGCTTTTAGGTGCTTGCATGTGTTCAGCATTTAGTCTGCCTTGTGAGCAGGGACCTTAGGACCTTCAAGACTAACTCTGTGGCCTGGGATCCACATTCAGGTAATAAACCTTTTTGCCTTTTATAACTGTATCCTTTATAGACAATATCTTTTAGACTTTGCCACTTCATATGACTTACTTTTAAGTTGCCATGAATTTTTCTTCACCTTTTTTGAGACAGTCACATGTAGCCTAGGTTGCTGTCAAACTTGCTGGTAGCTAAGGCTAATGCCTTCACCCCCAAGTGTTGGGATTGCATGCCTGTGCCACCACATCGGGCTCAAGGCCCTACACATTTCAGATTGTCCGTGCTTCGGTGCAAATGCACGCAGCCACTGTGTCACTTCCATGCATGGCAATGCAAATGGTGCAGAATTGCTAGAATGTGATTCCTTCTGATGAGGAAGATCAGGCACACAAACTTAGTGGTGTTTAGTGTTCGTTTTTGAATAGCAAACCCATTCTGGGGGCCTTGCTTTGTAATTCCTTTGTGTGTGTGTTTATGTCAATGTAACTAGCCCAAAATTGTGACGTTCATCGTCCCTGTTCACAAAAATCAGTCTGAACTTTTAGTTACACAGCAACTACTTGGCATTTTTTAAAATTAAACAAACAAACCAATAAACATATTTAAGACAGGGTCTCACTCGTAGCCTACGCTGGCCTGAAAACCACTGTGCTCGCTCAGTAATTTGCCTGCTGTGACTGAATCCAATATCTCAAGAGTAATTGAGAAATGGGGGAAATGGAGAAAATAAATTAAAAAATCAATGGAATAGATAAATTGCTTTCAAGACCTTTGGGTCTGGCTCCATCTATAAAGTGAGCACTTTATTTTCAACTCTGACTTGTATAATTTTAAATTTGGTGTGCCTTTTGGATGTGGACTTCAGATTTTACCCAGAAATCCTCCTGCCTCAAGTACTGGCATTACAGGCACGAGCTACCACACTCAGCTTACTATTTAAAATTGATTACAGTAGTATTTGTATTAGTAATATACATAGAATTTCTAATTGTATATAAATCTAGTGCAGTAATATAATTTTGCCATTATTGTTTTTGCATGATTACTTACTATTTTGTAACTATGCCTAAATGATATTAGATTGTATTGTTTCTCATGTCTGGTATTCTAATATTTTTCTTCTTGCAAAACTATTAAGATAATTTTTCCTTAGCTAAAGCAATTTCCAATGACCTTGGTACTTAAGATATGTAGTCTGTTTATTTGGCAATAGTATTAATGTTTACATTCAAAGATAATATGCTTGTACATATTCAATAATATAATAAATAATAAAATTGCCAATTTAAAATTTTGTATTCTCAGGCTTTTATCAACTAAAATAAATCATGTATTATTTTCCTGTGCTAAGTTTTTTGTTTTTTTTCCCCCTCAAAAAATAAACTGTAACTTTAATTGTAAAAAAAAAAAAAATTTAAAATTAAAAAAAAAAAAACAAAAAACAAAAACAAAAATAAATCTATTAGAACTTTTGGATTGGACTGGATGTCAGTTTTTATATTTTAAAATATTAAAAGATAATTAAAGATTCCTTTTCTGTTTTAGTTCCAGACAGTCATCTCTATCAGAAAAAAAAGTACCAGAGTCTTCCCCTGTAACCAAGAGAAAGGTGTATGAGAAAGCAGAAAAATCAAAAGCCAAGGAACAGAAGCAGTAAGTTGCTAAGGCTTTTCATCTACTAGATGACTAAAAGGTCCCCGCACTGGATGCTAAAGGACAGTTCTGAATTGCTGTGTGCTTATAGCTGGTTTCTCTAATCAGATGATGAAGTCAGCTGTTGGCTTGGCTAAGTGCTTCTCTGACTTTCTGGTCACACACACCTGTTGGTACACCTGAGCATTTGTCTCCCTGTTCATGTCACTAACATTTTTCAGCTATGTTTTTATATCTCTGAGTTAGTATATATTTGAGCTAAGAATTATTAGATTTATATTTCAAATGATCTATAAATATTCAGAATTAATTTTGTTTATACTTGGATAAAACTGACCTTAACATTACCTCTTTAGAGTAGTGACAGACTAAATTGATCGTAAAATGTGGCACTTTGGGTATTTTTTTGCTGTGCCCTCAACATTTGGGCTGTTGGTATTATATTAACTTGTTTCTTTTGTATTTTATGAGGATTTAACTGGCAGCAGGAAGCAGAGCCTGCTGACTGTTTACATGCGCTCGTATGACTTGTGCCCACATCACGCAGAAATTGAGTGGCTCAGATAAGCAAATATTATGTAAAAGCCCCAACTTCTGTCGCTGGCCCACTCCCTCTGTTACTCAGTGTGCTACATGGGCAGGTGGGTCATACACGTGTCCAAGGAGAGCGTCTGTGCCCATTTGCCTGTGAATATTAGTAAATATTAGTGTGTTTCTTTGTTCTTTTACATAAAGACATGCTCATATATCTTCTGTACCTCATGGGACAATCTTACACAACCCTCTCTCCCTCTAGGCAGAGAAATAGCACGTGCACTCTCTAATTTGCCCATCGCTGTAGCTGACGTGATCGTCATCCAGATTTTCCTTCTAATAATCCTTGCTTTCTATATTTTTGAAGAAGTAATTTGCATGTTTTATTGAATTCACTTTTCAGAATAATTAAGAAGTGGTGGAATAGAACAAATAAGTAAATTTTTCAATGAACTGAATAGGAAAATTGCTTTCAAGTTCTTTGGGTCCATTTCTCTATCTGTAAAGTGAACAACTTGGTCCCAATTCTCAATTTGTTATTTTAAATTCCACTTGCTTTGTGGGTGTGGACCTCATTTCCCTAGGCAGAATCTTTTCTGCAGTGCCGTCCTGTGGCCATTGTAACAAAGTCCAGTGAAAATCATTTTTTAAATCATTCAGGGAGCATCTTACCACTCACAAAAGGGGGAAAGGAGGAAAAGAAGGAACTCTGTAGTACAAGGCTTTTAAAAGCATGTTTCTGTGACCTTCCTAACAATGCGTAACCGACTAAAGCCCCCTGTAATGTTCTTTTTTCTTGTAGCTCAGATTCTGGGACTTCAGAGGCTAGTCTCTCACCTCCTTCCTCCCCACCAAGCCGGCCCCGTAATGAACTGAATGTCTTTAACCGCCTTGCTGTTTCTCAGGGAAATACATCAGTTCAGCAGGATAAGTAAGTCATCATGGAAGAGAGCCCATGTGCCTCACAGAGCCCTCCACACCCTCCCAAACAGTGCGGACATTTCCCCAGCGCTGTTTGCCAGGTGGAGACTGACCAGTAAACTCTTGTTGTATTTTCGTATTTTTTAAATGGAAGCGAACCACTTAGCCAGAAGTAGGTTATTTTCCTGCTGAACATATTCCCTGTTGTAGACCTCATTGCTCTGCCTTCAGTTCCTTACAGCTTCTGTAAATTCACAAAAAGCTTCTAATCCTGGTAGCCTGTGTTGAAAAGTGGCAAATATATTTTACCATTGGTAGATGAAACAGCTTACAAAGACCACTGCTTTATGCGTAACGTGCTTCTGTCATTTGGGTGTCACAAAACTTCAGTAATTGTGTTCTTGAAATAAAGTAACTCCTTAAGGACGGAGGGATTGTGGGCAGGAAGGGTTAGAGAGATGTGGAAAGCCTAAGTTTTATTAAATTAGAAGTAGAAAATATATCCCCATATTGAGCCAGAATCTTTCTTGCAAGTACTCATCCTAACGCTGTTGCCGTGACGTATTTTTTAGCTCTGGCTTCTCTGCTTGGAATTCGAACAGTCATGTAGTGTGTGTGCTCGACGTCCATCCTGCCTAACCACAGCTGTTGGTTTTCTGTGCTGTTACTTTCCTGCATGTGTCTGCGGTCTCTGGAGTTTATAGAATGCCATTTAAGATCTCTCTAGCATGTTTAGGTTGTATCAAATGGCTCTATAAATGCACCTGCACTTATCGTTTGAAAATAATTTTTAATCTGCTTAATTCATGAGTAAGCTATCTGTTATTCTTTTTTAAAAAAAATTTATTCTTTTTATTTTATGTGTATGAGTGTATTGCCTACATGTATGTGAGTGCACCTGTGTTGTGCAATGCTGCGGAGGTCAGAAGAGGGCTTTGGGTTCCCCTGGAACTGGAGTTAAGGACGGTTCATAGCCACCATGTGGGTGCTGGGAATCAAACCCGGGTCCTCTGCAAGAGTAGTCAGTGCTCTTAACCGCTGAGCCATGTCCCCAGACCTATATATTCTTTATTAGTTAATGTATTCAGTAGATGACATGTCTTTTAGATTGATCTAGAGAGGTAAATCTTGTGTTAATTAAACAAAACAATCTTTACTATTGATAAGACAGTCATTAACTGAAGAATGTAGAATATTATTGTTTCTGAAAAATCTATTTTGCTATTTATGTGAAGCACTGTTAAATTTTATCTACGTTGCATTCATCATAGTTATTCAGTTTTCTGTCGTAGCTGGGTATGGTGGTTCACCAGTGTAAACCCAGCAGTTGTCAGGCTGAAGCAGGAGGATCACTGTGAGTTCAAGGTCAGACTGAGCCATGTAGTGAGTTCTAGAACAGTCTGAGCTACAGAGTGAGACCCTGTCTCAGACTTTTTTCCGTCAGTCTTGACAATCTAATCGTAGTTTCATATTTTGTGCCTAAATTGTTTCACGAACTGCACTAATTATACTCTATTGTCATCTCTATAAGCTGAGATTTTGAATAATTGACTTTGTACTTTGGAAAGCTCCCCCACATTTTGTATCACTTTCTCCTGGCTCCTGTTTGAGACCACCGAATTTCACCTATGAGATGCAGACTTCCCACACCGTTTCTCGTTGCCTTCCATGCCGGCACTCACCTCTCCCATCTCCCCTGGAAGGTCACACAGCCTAAGTTCATAGTAACCGAATTTACTGCCAGTCTTGGGGATTCAGGGCAGGGCTAATCATGTTTTCCCTAATTAGTTATTGCTGAGGGGCCACATAGTCAAAAGAACTCAATGCTTTTCAAATAAGTTAAAACCAGGAGTTATTAAACATTATAGTAATTTACTTTCTACGCAGATACAGAGTGTATTTGTGAAACCACCACAGTAGAATCTATCTAAAGTAATAGCTACAAAGATAAATTCATTCACATTCATTACTGGAATGGGAGTTATTTACTTTCCAGGTATTCATCAAATTAAATACGGCAAACCTTAATGTAGTTAGTATCTTAGTATTTTCCTCTCCAGAGCCTTAAGTTTTGGAAATGAAGGTGTAGTCTGTGGGTCACTAGTAGGTACAAAGCCCACCAGCCCCCAAGTCTCAGAAGAAAACCAAGAGTCTAGTTCTTGCTTAATTTAGCTATACTTTGAACCTGCTGATTCCTAATGCAAGCAGACAGCTGCTCGCTGCTGAGGAAACACCTTCTGTTCCGTTACTCACACTATGGAATTTCAGTCTAATGTCAGTATCTTTACCTGTATTGACGTCTATGTTCCTTTGCTCTTAACTCTGACTCTCTCACTGTAGGTCTGATGACAGTGACTCCTCTCTGTCGGAGGTACACAGGTACTTTCTCTCCTGAGTCCTTGTTCCACTGATGTGTGAAATGCTTCCTGTGAGGCTGAGGCAGCCTTAGCTTCCCACTGCATGCGCAACTGTGAGCTGTGTGAACCAGTAACGTTTGAAAGAGCTGATTTGGTGTCTGAGCATGTGTCATTAGACTAAGCGGTGGTAAAATGAAAGCTTAGACACTGGGTATTCGTTTTCCATCTGTTTGATGAATATTGATGTCAGGAGAGTTTGCTCCTGGGTGGTGGTATTACTGTTTCTTCAAGTCTAGGAGGTAGATAAGTGGCTTTTCTTTTTAGTCTAGCAATTTTAAGTGAAAAGTTTATTTTACAAAGTTCTACTAGAATATGACAAAGATACTGATACTGTCATGACAAAAGTAGAAAGTAAAGGGACTTTTAGTTGTAAAAGAAATTGATAAATGCAGTTTTAAAACTTTTTTCATGGGGCTGGAGAGATGGCTCAGTGGTTAAGAAAACTGGCTGTTCTTGCAGAAGACCTGGGTTCGAATCCCAGCACCCACATGGCAGCTAACAACTGTCTGTAACTCCAGTCCCAGGGTATCTGACAGCCTCTTCTGACCTCCACGGCATCGCACAACACAGGTGCACTTACACACATGCAGGCAATACACACATACACATAAAAATAATAAGTAAAATATTTTAAAAACCTGTTATATGAAATTTACAAAAGCTCAATAAAAATATATTTTTTAAAGAAAACATTTTTCATGCTCTGGGTTTTGGGGCCCTTCCTGCTTCTCTCTGTCTCACTTCGCTTCACTCCTTTGTCCCCTTTGCACTGGTCTCCCTTTGCCTTATGGCTATTTTTCTGAACATCAGCAGATCCTCCAGAAGGTAGGTGGGGAGGCAAGGTGACATCGATCTTAGATGTCACTGCTTTGCATGGAACAAAATAAGGATTTTTTTTCTCTTCCCTCAGATCAGCTTTGTTGTACAAATTTGAAATATTTTACCTTAACTTAAATATTTTAAAGCTCATCTTCACATTTCAGAATACGAATAGATTAATTAGAATTGAATAAGAAATTCCTTATGTGTATTTCATTGCCTACATTTCTCTGCCATCTCTGATAATCTACATAAAATATTGCCCCTAATATTCTGGATATTTGAGAACATTTTCAAGTATCTAATGAATAAAATTCAGTTTTTAATATTGAGATTATTTTTCTTCAGAAAAAAAATTAACTTTAATCAGTTGTGTTAAAATACATGAGAATGGTGTGGGGAAAATGGTGGGCAAAGTGCTTGGTGCAGACGCACGTAACAGTTCATATCCCCAGAACCTAAGTAAAGCTGGACAGGCCTGGGGGCCTAAGCCTGTAAACCCAGCACTTCGGAGGCAGAGACACACTCAAGGTCCCCGGGGCAAGCTGGCTAACTAAACTAGCTGAAATGGTGAACTCTATGTTAGTGAGAGCTCCTACTTCAGTATATAAGGTGGAGAGCAATCCAGGAAGACACCTGACATCAGCTTGGGACCTGACCACATGCATTTGCACATATGTATCATACCTGCCCTGTATGTGTGGGGCCACGTTTGCAAACACACAAACATATGCAACAACAGCAAATAGACAGAAACCTCTTGCTTTCCTGGAAGTTAACTCTACATAGCATGTCTCCGGGGGCAAGTCCTTAGAGTGCTTTCATAATGTGACCTTTGCCATGACAACTTTGTGCTGGGTATTGTGTTGTCAGGGTGTGACACAGCTGGGAAAGCAGGGGAAGGGTCACCGAACTGATTCTGATGTGCAATTTTTTAGGGATAAAAAACAGCTCTTATGCTGCTAACACAGTTTTTTTTGTTGTTATTGATCATTTTTGGTCAGTTAGTGCATTTGGGCTTGCTGTTTGGGTGGTTGTAGTGGCCTGCTATAGAAGAGTCACTGCTTTTAAATATTGGAAACAGTGTTTGCAGACTTTGTGGTGCTGTTTCATTGCTGTGTACTTTATACCAGTAGGATTTCAAGGTGACAGATTCAGACCGGTGGCTCCCATTTCAGCTTTAATTCTTAGATTACAAACAAATTGTTTGTATTGCTTTCAATCTCAGATTTTAACATGGAATAATTCCTATTATTCCAGAGGTAATTCCTAGGGATCATTTTTAGTGATGTGACACTAAATCATCATTGTAACAAGATCTTACATTTAATTTTTTAACTCAACATATTTACCTCCTTTACCTTTCTCTTCATTATTTTTCACCAGCTCTCTTTAACTGTATGAGAATTAGTTCAACACCTTTTTTGTGTCTGTATGACAGCCCTGCAGCTATCCAGTTTTTTAATTTCATGATTTTAAAGTTCAATGCATGTACTTCATCAGCTTAGATGTTCTAGTTTTATCTGTTCATTACAATGGAAAGACTGGTGTGTTTCAATATTCTTAAAATGTGGCATCTAGAGCTAACACTCACTCCAGATGTGGCCTGGGCAGACTCAGGACGGCATGGCACGTCCTCATAAAATGTTTACTTCTGTGGAGCACACCGTTGGTAATTTTGGTAGTGGAACCACAAATTGTTAATCTTGTATTTAACAGGCTTTAAGTTTAGTTTTTAAACCTAGCTACTGTTGATCCTCTCTTCTACTTGTACAAGTCACTTCTGTGGTTGACTTAAGTGCTAGTTTTAAATTTTACCTGATGATTATGTTAGTGCTAAACAGGTGCTTAAAACAAATGACTTTTTGTTTGGTGGTTTTTTTCCCCCAGACAACACAGTAGAGTGAGTATCTAGCTATTTAATTTGTCAGTTTAATTGGCATGCCATCTCTGTCTTTAGGGCCAAGGAAAGATCAGTTAGAAGCTGTAGATCTTCCTGCTCTTCTCTAGCCCCCAACTAACTGCTTTACTACATCAGTTTCATAGCTACCTCCCCTGTGGGAAGGCTCAGTACATTCCTGAATGAGCTTCTCTGCTGTTTAAAAGTTTTCATTTTAAAATCTTTGAAATTACCATAGTATTTTTCTTTATTAGAGTCAACATTCCATGAGTATTTAACCTGCCCCTTGTTTGTTGTCTGTTAATTCTGCAGAGAGCTTCCCTTGTGAGGTTGGTGAACCCATGTTATGTCTTAGTGATCAACATTTACCTTTTTTAGTGTTTGTAAGGATTTGTCCAACGTTTCCCCACATGAGACTCAACAAGATATTTTAATCTATCTTAATTCCTGAAGTGGTTTTGTTCCCTTTATTGACCTTTGTGATCTCTTAACGTACTGACAGTATTTTTCCTCTTCAATGGTGTTTCATTCTGGGACCTGGGAATGACAATAGAAATGTAAAAGCAGAAGGGCTTGAGGGACTCCATTGTTCCCAGTGCCTCCACTGTCAGCCTTCACATAGACTCTCCTCCTTCATAATCATGTCTGCCATGACAGGGTTCTGATAATCCCTCTAGGCCTACAGGGCAGGAGACCCAATAACAAATATGAAAACACTCCTGAAAGAGCTCCACTGTTGTCTAAAGTTTCCATTTACAAATCAAGATTACCAAAGTATTTTTTCTTTAAGTTGCCAACACATTTCAGTCATCCTCCCTTGAATTGCAGTCATCCTGTAAGTGCTTCAACGCCTTGTTTCAAGGTGCTTTCTCTGTGGTTTAGGTGCTGTGTTACACTTTCCCAGCATGTTCTCTTTTGGCATAGAATTTCATTCCAGCATAACATAATGCCATAGGTCTCAGTTAGTCATCGTTTCTACTCCTTGTGCATCATAACAAGGAAGAATTGCCAGAGATGAAATGGTTAATAAGAAAATCCAGACATATGATTGATTAAACTGTTTGCAGAACTAGTCACCAGTGGATGCCCTGCTAGTTGATGTGCCTCATCACTACTATCTTACCCTTTATCTGTGTCCTTTTGATTAAAATGGAAGGAAGGAGACAGTCTGGGCATTCTCACTAATATTTATATAGGCATTTTTTTTTTAATCATGGAAAAAAATAAACCTCTCACAATCAGGCTATTGAAATCTTTTTTTCCCCCTCAGGGGCATAATCAACCCATTTCCTGCTTCCAGAGGAGTCAGAATGGCCCCACTTCAGTGTGTTCACGTAGCTGAAGGCCACACAAAAGCTGTGCTCTGTGTAGATTCTACTGACGATCTTCTCTTCACTGGATCAAAAGGTGCTAGTAACTATCAGATGTACATATGTATATGTTAAAAAAATAGCTTTTTTTTTTCTTTTTTGGCACAGCAGGCCTGGAACTCACTATGTAGACCAGGCTAGACTTGATCTCTGAGATCCACTTGTCTCTGCCTCCTGATTAATGGAATTGAAGACATGTGCCACCACACCCAGTTAATAGTTAGCTTTTTTAATAGTCTTTAAATTTTTAAAATTTTATTTTATTTTATTTTTATGTGTATGCGTGTATTGCCTGCATGTAGGTAAGTGCACCCGTGTTGTGCAATGCCTGCAGAGATCAGAAGAGGCTGTCGGATCCCCTGGGACTGGAGTTACGGACAGTTGTTAGCTGTCATGTGGGTGCTAGGATTTGAACCCAGGTCTTCTGCAAGAACAAGCAGTGTTCTTAACCGCTGAGCCATCTCTCCAGCCCAATAGTCTCTTTTAAAAATATATATTTTTATTTTATGTGTATGACTATTTTGCCTGCCTGTAGGTAAGTGCATCCCAATGTGCAAAGCCTGCAGAGGCCAGAGAGGGTGTTGGATCCCCTGGAACTGGAATTAATGGTTGTTAGCTGCCATGTGGGTTCTGTGAATTGAACCTGGGTCCTCTGGAAGAACAGCAAATATTCTCAACCACTGAGCCATTTCTCCAACCCCATATTAATTGGCTCTTAAAAAAAAAAAGCAACCTATTTTCGCAGCTGATTACTGATGGGTGAGGAAGAGCTTATCTTCTTAAAGAGCCTTCTTCAAGATAGGCTGACTAGACCTCAGGATAAACTTGCACGAGGGACATCTGGGGGCACTAACTTAACATGATAGGTCTTAACACAAATGACAGAATGTATGAAATCCAGTGGGGGGGTTATGGGTGGGTGCCAGTGGGGAAGGGGGTATAAAGTTAAGATGTTCTGTATGAAATATACAAAAATTCAATAAAAAATTTAAAAATCCTATTTAATTCTAGTGAGATTCTCCTACACTAGCTTAGTACCTGAATTACATAAAATATAAAATCTTAGTGGGGAGGAGATGAACAGGACACTGTTACTGTTTTGTGAGTGCAGGGATAAGCACGGTATCTCTCTTCAGTTGATGCCTACTTCATACCGTGTTCGAGATTTTGAAGTGCACATGATACAGATTTATAGAAGACCATTAAAATACACAGCATGGACAAAAGACGGTAGCAACCGCCATTTCTTGTGAACACACCATAGGTTGTCAGGCATGACACAAATGTGTTTTAATTTGCACAGCACCTCCCATGAGGTAGATACTGTTTCCTCATGTTACACGGTAGAAACTCAGGATTCAAGATACTGAATTGGTTTTCCTGTGTGTTAATTTAGCTAGTGGGTAGAAGAGCCAGGTTTAGTAACCTCTATACAGCCCTTTTGTACATTGCAAGAAACGAAAAACCACAAGACACCAGACACCCCTCCACCCCCCACTTTTCTGTGGTCCTCTGTACCCACCTTACCTATGAAATTATTACAGAAATTCAAGGATGTAGTTAGGATGCCTATTGCAGGATAATTGAATAATTGCTATCTTCCTTTGCTGTTTCTTTGAGACAGGGTCTCCTTGTAACCCCAGCTGGCCTGGAACTCACTATGTAGACCAGGCTGGCCTCGATCTCACAGAGATCTGGCAGCCCTGGCCTCCTGAGTGATTAAAGGCGTGCGCCACCACACCCAGCTTCCTCTGCTGTTTCTTTCCCATGGAAGAACATTGTTTAAATACCTTGTTACTGTGAGAAGAACCTAAAACTGTACATATTAACAGAGCTCCCTTTGCTTCTTTGTGTCCACCTTAGATCGTACCTGCAAAGTGTGGAATCTTGTGACAGGACAGGAAATAATGTCACTGGGGGTGCACCCAAACAACGTCGTGTCTGTAAAATACTGTAATTACACCAGTTTGGTCTTCACAGTGTCAACATCTTATATTAAGGTGTGGGATATCAGAGACTCAGCAAAGTGCATTCGAACACTGTCGTAAGTACTTTGAAAACAGCATAAAGAGCAAATAGTTATTTCTGTTTTTACAGAATTTAAGAAAATATAGGGTTCTTTACACATTTTAGTTTTTTAAAAGCATCTGCTACTCCTCAGAGGATGCTCACGTGGTGACACTAAAAGTACTGATAAAATAAGGAGAAAAATGTTGACGGTGAAATAAAAAGCAGAATATTAAGCAGGAAGAGGTAAACTGTGTTTAATCTGCTAGTTAATATACATTTCCTAGTTCCTTCTCCCAAATGCATCACACGCATGTACTATTCATTACTTGGAGTTACTTAAGTATCAGTCCTTGGAAAATAACTGAAACGACTCCTGTAGGTAGCGAGGAAGCATTTGCAGCCTTGATTAATCTACCTTGATATTAGCCCTAACTTTTAACTGTAAGTTTGATTGAACAGTTGGAAAATAGATGTTTTCTCAGTGTGTGTAGTTATGTTTTAAAATTACAAAACAATTATTATTTTTGTCATAAAACAAACAACTTTTTTTTCCTAATCAAAGTTGAGGCAAACTCTGTAATTGTGTACATGACAAAAGGAAGAACTGAAGTCAATTTTTACTAACTTACAAAGTAGAAATAGCAATTATTAACTTTTAGGAGCCAGCTTATCATTTTAGAGCTACTAATTGTTTCTTGCATTGAATAGAAGTTTTGTAGAAGAAATTTTGTAGAGAAAAAACATTGTATCTTTGTATGTATTTTATTATTTTTATTTTATGCGTATGAGTGTATTCTGCATGTGTGTAATTGCACCAGTGTTGTGCAATGCCCGTGGAGGTTGGAAGAGGGCATCAGATTCCCTGAAACTGCAGTTACAGATGGTTGTTAGCCGCCATGTGGGTGCTGGGAATTGAACCCAGGTCCTCTGCAAGAGTAGCCAGTGCTCTTAACCACTGAGCCAATTCTCCAGCCCAAAACATTGTATCTTAAGTTAGAAAATTCTCAATTTACTTGAGTTGCTAAATTAAAATAGAAAAGATTGGTTATAAGTCAGTATTTTAGAAGTTAGCAGAGAAAATGTTTCAAAATAAAAATAAAACATTTCATCATGTAAGTTTATCAGAAGAAATAGAAATAAGGTATGCTTAACTTTTCAATACACAATAGATGTTCCATTTTTTAAAAAGCTACAAGTAATTAAAAGGTTCCCAGTGTCTTTAATCACAGAAGGCAATTCTTATTACAAAGGAAATGTCTGTGAGCCAGGCCAGCAGTGCACTTCTGGGGATGGCGCTGGAATGAGCTGCCTTGATGGCCCTGTGTCATTCGTTAACATTTAATCTTTGACATCTAATAGTTTCTGAAGGGTGTTTTAGTCATCTCCACCTCAGGGCCTGGGACTTCTAGCATCGAGGTAGACATACACATTAAGGCACCGTTTGTACCGCAGTAGAGGGGAGGGCTCCTGCTGCTGTCTACAGCCAGGCTCTTAGTAATTCAGGAAGCTGTGAGCAGAGCTCATGTCTGGAAATGTCACTTGTTTTACTTCATTTTTGTATCTGTTAGATCTTCAGGTCAAGTTACTCTTGGAGATGCTTGTTCTGCAAGTACCAGCCGGACGGTAGCTGTTCCTTCTGGAGAGAATCAGATCAATCAAATTGCACTAAACCCAACGGGCACTTTCCTCTATGCGGCCTCTGGGAATGCTGTCAGAATGTGGGACCTTAAAAGGTAGAGTTTCTAGAGTGTCCCTCTTACACATAGCAAATACAACTTCAGATGCTAATAACGTTAATGCATATGAAATCCAGTTGTTTTCAGCATTGTTAGATGTCCATATGTCCTCTAACTCAAATAATTAAATTTAAAACCATATTTATGTATAGCAATAAAATTTAAATAGTAAACACCATACATAATAGAATGCTTTATTAAAGATTTTAAAAATATTTTATTATTATTATTTCATGTGTATGAGTGTATTACCTGCGTGTATGTAAGCACACCCATGTCGTACAATGCCTGTGGAGGTCAGAAGAAAGTGCTGGATCTCCTGGAACTGGATTTATGGATGGTTGTTAGCTGCCATGTGGGTGCTGGGAACTGAACCCAGGTTCTTTGCAACAGCAGCCAGTGCTTTTAACTGCTGAGCCATCTCTCCAGCCCCCTATTTGTTACAGTTTTAAATAAAATTTTCTTTTCTTTTCTTTTCTTTTTTTGAGTCAGTGTAGCCTGTAGCCCTAGCTGGCCTGGAACTCACTTTGTAGACCAGGCTGGACTTGATCTCAAAGGGATCCACCTGCCTCTGCCCCCCGCCCCCCCTGCAAGTGCTGGGAGTAAAAGGCATGTGCCAGCTCAGTCATCAAAATTTTCTTTAAAAAAAAAATCACTCTTTCTTAGTGGCTCACTGGAACATATATTCAGTGACTATTTTTTATGATCTCAGAAGTTAATATAAATGAGTTTTTATTTATTTACTTTAAATTTTTTTTTATTTTTTAGAAGCATTTCATTACAGCTTTAACATACTCAATAACAGTTTCCAGAGCAAAAATACATCTCTTTCAAAAGTAGCTGTACAATGTTTAGGTTCATAGTTGAATTAATAGTTATACAGTATTGAGCTCAGCACTCCTAAATGCGTTTTCTGTCTTCACAAGTTCCCCTCCCTTTAATCTCCATTGCTGGGGGCGGTTAGAGGGAAGTTGCAGTTGCAGTGTGTGCTGTGTCTGTCTGGAAAGTGTGACAGTACGAAGAGGCGGAGACTCCCAGTCCAGTTTCACCAGCATCTTTGAGAAAAACATGTTTGCAGTAATATTTAGAGATTGCACTTTATGAAATTTAATAGCTTTGAGCCTAAACCTTACATAAGATATATACAAATATTAATAAATATTAAGAAGATAAAGTAGTTAAAATGACAAGTGGAAAAGTCAGGTGTTTCATTTTCTGCTTTTTTTTTTTTTCTTTCATTTGCAATTGAGAGAGGGAGCGATTGAGAATTTGAGGGAGGGGCGTGCATGGCACAGCCTGTGTGGAGGTCAGAGACAGATTTTCGGTGTCCGTGCTCTCCTTCTGCCTTGCTGAGGCAGGGTCTTCCGGTTCGTTACCACTGTCTCTACTCTCCGGGCTGTCTGGCCTATGAGCTTCTGGGCAGGCCTTTTCTGGTTCCACCTCCATCTCACCACAGACCTTCTGGGATTACAGATGCTGCTGCATGCAGCTTTTTATGTGGGTTCTGGGGATCTAAACTCAGACCATCAGGCTTGCCTGGCAAGCACTTCTACAGACCCACTGAGCCATCTCTCTGGCCCCTGTCTGAGCTTTTATCCTTTAGTTGAAGGTTTATTTTAGCTTTTTTCTATTTCCTAAAATTTTGACAGTGAAAGAACATTCATTTATTGTTTAACAAATGTATAATATGCTTATTCGTTACTAAGTATGGAAGTCCTGGGAGTAGCCTGAGAAAGACAGCTGTGGTCTCTTCTTTGTAACTCACGTGGTACTGGGGATAAGTTGAATTGTGACAGGGTCACAGTTCAGGGAGTGTAGTTGTTCTCAGTCAGAAAGAATTTGTCAGTGGTAAATCATGTGGATATTTACTGGTAAAATTTTGAGTAAAGTCAGTATTTAATTTGTAATATCTAAAGCATGATTGAGAACTGGAATACACATAATTCATAGATTATAAAGGCAAGAGGGAGAAGTTACAGTTCTGAACACTGTATTAGAAATAAAATACTGAAAATCTATTTGTGGAAATTTTAAAAAGAAGCAAGGGTATTGTTTTCCTTATAGACATTACATTTCCCTTGTACCAAGGGGAGATGGTCAGCACAACACAGCAGAAAGATACCAGCTTCTAAGTTCACTAAGATTTAGAACTCTCGAAAACTGCTTGCTTTCAATAGCCCAGTTAAATATTCCTATTAACAAAGGAATTAAAAGAACAGTTTTTAAGAGCCTCTACTGTGAATAGCCTAGAAGCTGGCAGCATTGTGCTCCAGCAGCTTAACGTGAGTTAGGACCGTGGTCAACTCCACTGTCACTCTCTGAAAACTGACTGCACACATTAACAAAAAAGGTCTTGCTGTTCTGCCCGTGGTCTCAAGCTCTGGAGCTCACGTGACGGTGGGATGACAGGCTTGTATTACACCTGACAGGCACCTGTGCTCCCTCCACAGCTGGCTTGTCCTTGTCATGGTCATAGACCACCTAGTTTCCGATACACATATATGCACATACATGTGGGCACATTGGTCTGTGTGTGGCATATATGTGTGTGTGTATGTTGTATGTGTACCTGTTGTGTAAAACTATGTGTATGTCTATAATAAAATAATCTCCCTTGCTCTGTAGTTTCATTGCTATTTTTGGTTCTTCCCTGCATTGTACTGATCAGGTTTGTAATAACATACTAAGTACTCCTCAGCCTCTATTGTAGAATGTTAGTTTGTGCATTGCTGTTTACTCTAACCAGAGTTTCAAGAGACAGAGCTGAAATAAAAAATAAAATTAGTGAATAACTTTATGAACAAATATAGATTGTTTATGCAAGCACCATCATTCTCTGGTGCTTTCAAAAGTCATTTCCCATTCTCATTAAAGGTTTCAGTCCACGGGGAAGCTAACTGGACACCTGGGCCCTGTTATGTGCCTTACTGTAGACCAGATTTCCAACGGACAAGATCTAATCATCACCGGCTCTAAGGATCACTACATCAGAGTGCGTATTACAGAGCTGGAATTATGATTTCTTGAGTGATAGGTTCGAAATATTCACCAAGCTAATCTCAATCCTATTACCCCTCTCTCATTTTGACCATTGATTTCAATTGCAGTTGCATCATGGGCAATTTACCAGTGGGTATACCACTGGAGAAAATGACCTGCCCTCCTTTAGAAACCATTAACTTCCACTGGTCCTCAGAGACAGGTGGGGTCTCATAGTGCCTCCATTCATGAGGGAATATTGACAGGCCCAGTCTTGTGCAGGTCCTGTGCAGGTAACCACAGGTGTGTGAGTTCATGGGTACAACGGCCACGAACTGGAGACAGCATTTCACAGCACTCCTCATCCTCTGGTTGTTTCTTTCTGCCTACCCCCTTCTGTTGCATTCCCTGACCACTGGAGGGGGTAAATAGAGATAGGTGTCCTGTTTAGGGCGTAGAGAACACACAACAGTCACCTATTCCCACACTTGTAAGATTCATTTATCTTAATCAGTTTTCAATTTCCTACCCCTTTTTTTTTATATTCTTTTCTTGATTTACAGTTATTGATTTTGTGCTGTTTTTGTTTGTATTGGATTTTGCTTTGAGACAGGGTCTTGTGTAGTCTAGGCTGGCCTGGGCTCTGTCTGTGGTTAAAGATAATTTTGAATATCTGATCTTCCTGCCTCCATCTCCCAAGTACAGAGATTACCGACATGTGCCATCATGTCCAGCTTTCTTTAGTGCTGGGGATTGAAGCCTGGGCTTCATGCACACACTGCCAACTGAGTCACATCCCCTTTTCCTGATTTCTCTTCTTAATCAGAGGTTGTCCTTTTCAGCCTGGAGAGTTGGAGGCAACTGAGAAAAGTGACAGGGTTTGAGGAGTGGCTTTGGGGAGTTGGAGATGCAATCTGGGACTGAAAAGCTACTTATTGTGACCGAATAACATTATGTTATTTCAATTTTAAATGCATTGGCATTTAGCATTTTTATTTGATTATTCAAACATGAAAAAAATCTAATTGTTTTCTTGGTTTCAAGATGTGAAGACCTGACATGCAAGCAAAGTTAGTATGAAATAGGGCCCAGAGTCATCCTTCGTATCATTTATATGAGGTTAATGAAATAGTTTCTACACATGCCAGTGCTCCTATGAATGTGCCCGTGGATGAATGCGCATATTAAAAAGTTGGGAGGTGGAGAGCTGGCTCAGTGGCTAACAGCACTGCTGGCTGTTCTTGCCGAGGACCTGTGTTTGGTTCCCAGCACCCACATGGCAGCTTACAAGCACGTGCAACTCTGGTCTGGGGAATCCAGTGCCATCTTCTGGCCTCTGTAGGCATTGCATGCATGGGTGCACTTACATACATGCATGTAAAACACTCATACACATAAAATGAAACAAAAATAACTTTTTGAAAGTTAAATGTGATAACTGCTTTCTTTCCGTGTCTTTCTTATAGATGTTTGATGTAACGGGAGGGGCTCTTGGAACAGTGAGTCCCACCCACAATTTTGAGCCCCCTCATTATGATGGCATAGAGGCCCTGACCATTCAGGGGGATAACCTGTTCAGTGGGTCCAGAGACAACGGAATCAAGAAATGGGACTTAGCTCAGAAAGACCTGCTTCAGGTAATTCAAAACCTTTTCTTGGTTTGAAATGGCTCTTTTGAGAAACCACACAGTAGTCTAAGAACTTGAGGAATTTCTACATAGACTCTCATTGTATAAGGCTATTAATCAGGACTTTTTAAATTAAAAAAAATTATTTTTATTTTATGTGTATGAGTGTATTGCCTGCTTGTATATAAGTGCACCCATGTTGTGCAGTGCCCACAGAGATCAGAAGAGGGCATAGGACCCCCTGGAACTGGAGTTATTGTTGGTTGTTAGCCACCATGCAGGTGCTGGAATTGAACCTGGGTCCTCTGCAAGAGCAGCCAGTTCTCTTAACCACTGAGCTGTCTCTCCAGCCTCCAAGGCTTTTTAAAAATGAATGTTTTATCATCAATAAAGTTACTCTATCAGAATTATAATTGGGAGGAGGGACATACTCAGCACTAATGCATGCAGGGTAAAGGAAGGAAGGACACTGGTAAAAGTTGAAGATCCGGAAATTTTGTGTAGTTGTATTTACTAAATACGACCAGCCTTGATGTAGAACAGTTGCAGCTGTTCATTTTCTACAAATGTACACATGTTCCAAAGAGCATGAAGGTTATCAGAGACTGAGTAATATAACTGACTGCCCAGTTACAGGAGCGTTTTTGTGACTCTCATAATGGTGGTAGCTTCATTTCCTAAGAATGAAACACCTGGGCTGTAATTTTGTGCCCATACACTTAATTATTGGTACCTTTTGCTATTAGCTCTGAAGGGAAGAAACTAGCTATCATGAATTTGTTTACCGTCCAGCACTTCCCTTGTATATCAGTGTTGCTGCATATGTACATGGGGCTATATGTATATGGGGAGGCTACATATATGGGGGCGCTACATGTATGTGGGGGGGCTACATGTATGTGGAGGGGCTACAGTTGTGACAGCCCTGCTTTCCACCAGCGGCTAAAGACAGAAAGAAAAGTACCATGAATATTTGCAGAAAAAACAGATGCATGTCCTGTATTCACAAGCTTTGCTTTCATAGACATGCGTTTGGAGTTGTGAGCTTTACACTGAGAATAAGGATATGTTTATATAGATCTACTTACATTGTATTATCTAATTTGGTTCATTATGAGATATATAGACTAACTCTCATTTTCTTTGGCCTCCACATTCTCCATCTGGGGTTTAAGCCAGTGATTCAGGAGATGGTTCCTATAATCTGTGTATCAATCTATTCTTTTCCAAACTTGTTTTATTGCTTACATTTTGTATAAGGGAGAGAGATTTATGCCCACAAAGAGGCTATGATATTTAAAACTCTTCCTTGTGCTGTCTTTTAGAGTCTATGTATTATTAGCATTCTGTCCTTAACACTGATAACAATGGTGGGAATTGAAGAGCAAATTACAGATTTATTTGTTTGAATCATTGAGTGAACTGTGTAGAAAATGAACTTTTGTAATTTTCAGGCCATTCTGCATTCCAAATACTGAGTTTTGTTAATAAAAGTGTCGGGTGACCATTGGATTTGGAAGGTCGCTCTTTACTTTTGCCCTCTCTCTTCTCTCCCAGCAAGTCCCAAATGCGCATAAGGACTGGGTGTGTGCCCTGGGCCTGGTGCCAGGCCATCCGGCTTTGCTCAGTGGCTGCAGAGGGGGCATTTTGAAACTCTGGAATGTGGATACTTTTGTGCCAGTTGGAGAGATGAGGGGTCATGACAGTCCAATCAACGCCATCTGTGTTAACTCCACCCACGTGTTTACTGCAGCTGAGTAAGTTTCCTCCTGTGGTTTTGCTCTAGGTGGTTGGGTGTGCAGATCTGGTTGTAACTATTTACAGACTTTGAGCACAGGAGAACCTTCTTTTTTTAAAATATTTTATTTTTTATTTTTATTTTATATGTATGCGTGTATTGCCTGCATGTAGGTAAGGGCATCTGTGTTGTGCAGTGCCCGCGGAGGACAGAAGAGGCTGTCAGATCCCCCTGGAGCTGGAGTTACAGACAGTTGTTAGCTGTCATGTGGGTGCTGGGATTCGAACCTGGTCTTCTGTAAGAATAGCCAGTGTTCTTAACTGCTGAGCCACCTCTCCAGCCCAGGAGATCCTTCTTAAAGTCATCCTAGTAACTCTTTTAAAACACCTAGCTCACTTCTTTTGTTGTTGTTGTTTTTTAATACGGTCTTGCTGTATAGCCCAGGCTGCCTGGGAACTCTTGATCTTCCTGCCTCAGCCTCCTGAGACATGGCATGATAGAGGTCTGCTATCACACCTGGTTAATTTTATTTGCTTTTATTTTATGTGTATGAGTGTCTTGCTTGCATGTGTATTAGTGTGCCATGTGTGTGCAATGCCTGTGGAGGCCATAAGAAGGCATTAGACCCTCTTGAACTGGAGTTATGGATGGTTGTCAGCTGCCATGTGGGTGCTGGAACCGAACCCGGGTCCTCTGTAAGAGTAGCCAGTGATTTTCACCACCAAGCCATCTCTCCAACACCATAATTTATATATTTTAGTATACACTGTGAGTATTGAGTTGAGGCTGGCTTCAAAATAATAGGCTATTACTGTGTTTGTACTCTGTGGTTGTTAGGCAGTCTGCTGTCACATCTTTCCTTGGCGACTTAAAAAAAAATTTATTATGGACTAATTTTGAAAGATTTTTTTTTGCCCACAGAAAAGCCATGCATTTACTGTTCTTTGCAGTTAGAACTTAGTGACCCCCTCCTGTGGTCAGACTAACCCTGAGTGCCTGCTGGGAATTGTTTTCAGTCTCTAGAGGCTTGGCTTCCTCTAGCCTTACAGTCACAGTCTGCCCACTTGAGATTTAGTAATCAAGGCCTTGCCTCCGTAGAGATAGATGAAATTCTTCCCCTGAGCACATCTCTCCTCCTTTTTTCTTGGTCTGGCAAGTTCCTGTCTCTGTAGGCTCTGGATTTGGCTTCCTGTCTCATCAATTTGGTGTTTCTGCGCCATGTAGGCTCTTCTCTGCGCCATGTAGGCTCTTCTCTGCGCCATGTAGGCTCTTCTCTGCATTGTGTGGTATGGAAACGTCTCCAGGCGGAAAACCAGACCTTCCGGGTTCATCTTGGTTTCGCTTTCTTTGTGGGTCACAGCCCAGCCTGCCTGTCCCACTACCTGAAACAGCTGCCCCGTATTTCTTCTTAAGAATTCAAGTACTTAATTTTTTTATTTATTCATTTTTATTTTATGTGTGTAAGTGTTATGTCTGCTAGTGTATAAGTACACCCGTGTTGTGCAGTGCCCATGGAGTACAGAAGAGGGCAGCAGATTCCCTGCAACTGGAATTACAGACAGTTCTTTGTGGTCGCGTGGGTGCTGGGATTCGAACCCAGGTCTTCTGCAAGAGCAGCCAGTGCTCTTCATCGCTGAACCATCTCTCCAGCCCCCATATATTTTTTTGAAATTTATCTTTATTTGCAGTAGAAGAGCTGATCTGGTGTTTCCATCACAGCCAACAGTGGAGGTGTGATCATTTTAAATTACACATGCAAGAGTGGGCTTCTGATCTCCCTCACAGGAAACCTCCCTCAGTCTTCTCAGTCCTTGCCTCCTTTGTCTTTTTTTTTCGCCTAGGGCAGAACCCTTAGTTTTTCTCCTTCCTCATTCTGTGTAAATGGAATGGGGTTTTTCATTAAAAAGAAATTGTTAAAGTATCTCAACAGAGCAGTGCCTCACACTCACAGGCGCTCTGAACGTTTGTGGAGTGGTAGTGAGTGGGTGGCTGAAAGGCAGCACAGGTGAACACATTCCACTCCCCTTATCAGTTCCTGGGAGCTGTGTGATGCAGAGAAGATAACCCCGGGAAACCCAGAAAGCCTGGTTCTCAGTAAGCCCCGCCTTCACGTGTTACCCTTACTGTGCCCCTGAGCTCCTTTTCCTGGGAATGGATTCCAGAGTGCGGTGGCCTTTACCCGCAGTGCTGTAACATTTCTTTTACTTCTGGTTTATCTCAAAACTGGACAAAAACATTTCTTTACCACCAGGAGAGGCGACAAAAAGGGGATTGTCCATTGACAGGCTGGGAAGTGCTAAGGTAATGAAAAGCCTCCCTCAGAGACACTGTCCCCCTTCTTAGATGTAAGTTTTATTCTGTACTGACGCTTGCTTACATTTAGGGGTATTGAAAGACTTTCAGTCTTCTATAGTCATTGCTAGTGGATCCTTAACTTCTTCCAAGACCTTGGCTTTTTCGGTGTGCTTGTTTGCTGGATTCACCCAAAGGTAGTTCTTCCTGACACAGGGATTTACCAGCTGGCTGGAAATTCTAGACAGCTCCCCACCCCACTGTGCTCCTCCCTGAGTTGTGATCCCTACAGATTTCTGGCTCTAGGGCATACCAGGAGTTTTCTACAATAATGTAGAGATCCAGCATCAAGAGTGTGGCTCTGGGCCAGACTGAGGGCTAAGATCAGACATTTGTGTTGTAATCTGGGCCACAACTTACTCATCAGTGCAAAGAACATCATTATCCCATCTGCTTGGGAGACTGAGGCACCAAACTAGGCAATAGAGTGAGACTCTGAAAGAAAATAAAAGTATTATGACCTCCCTGTAACGGTCTGTAAATGCAGTCAGATGTATTAATGCATTAAAAAAAGGCACATAGTAGTGATGCTTGATACAAGTAAGCCCTTGATACTCTGAGCTGGTAGATTTTTATGAATATGTTTTCGCTTTTCTTATGCAGCAATGGACACTTTTTATTTGCATTTATTAAAAGTCTTTTTGAGAAAATGTTCCCATGGCTAGGAGTGGTGGCACGCCCTTAACCCCAGCACCCCAGAGGCAGAGGCAGAGGCAGGTGGATCTCCGTGAGTTTGAGGCCAACCTGATCTACATATTAATTTCCAGGCCTGTGAGACTCTGTGCATGTAGAAATAAAAATAAATAAATAAATAAATAAATAAATAAATAAATAATAATAGTAAATAAATAAAAAGTGATAATTTGGGCTGGAGAGATGGCACAATGGTTAAGAGCACTGGTTGCTCTTTCAGAGAACCCAGGTTTGGTTCCCAGTACCCACATGGCAGCTAACAACCATTGTTGACGCCAATTCCTGAGGATCCAGCGCCCTCTTCTGGCTTCTGCAGACATTGCATGGCATGGGTGTACTTACATGTATGCAGGCACTCATACACATAAAATAAAAATAAATTTTAAAAATGTAAAGAAGAAAATGTTTCCCTCAGTAGTTCTGAGAGCTATTTCTTTACCCTTCTGTCCCTGTTCTTATGTCCATTTTAAATTTACTGTTTTGCAGTGATCGAACTGTGAGAATCTGGAAGGCCCGCAATTTACAAGATGGTCAAATCTCTGACACAGGAGATTTGGGGGAAGATATTGCCAGTAATTAAACATGAATGAAGATTAGTCATAAACTGAATACTGTGATGATGCTCTTTTGTTCCTTATTTAAAATGCTGTACTGCATTCGTTATAAATGGAATTAACTGGAAAAATATATCTGAATCCATCTAGTAATATAAATGTATTCTAATATAACTGTGTACCATCTTGTGTGTGTAATCTTAATATCTACCAGTACACATCCTATGATTGCTATATTGCTTGAATAACACTTTTACTGCAGCTGGATTTTTGTGCCTAGCTTAAAAAAAAAGGAAAAGAAAACAAACAAAACCTTTAAATTATTTGAGTTACAGGATGTACAGTTGACAGTCAGAAGCATATACCTGGAATAAAACACCTACCTGTTAAGGTATATATGTAGTGTGTGCAGAACACTACATATTTAAATGTACTGGAACTGTGAGTCAAATCGTGTTCTGCTTGTCAGGAATTTATACTCGTCTGAAACAGTTTCCCAAATTTCAAAGCTCTCCAGATGTAATAGAACAGACAAAGCGAGGAGAGTATTGTTGATTTGTCATAACTGGCCTTGATGTGCTATCAAAGAGTGTTTAACGGTTTGTGTTACATGTTGACATCCGTATTGACCAAAGTTTTCAGTTGTGCTACAGCCTGTGCTCAGAAGCAAATGCTACTGAAATTGTTGCATTAGTGCTGGGCATGCCCTCTGTGATGGTAAACTCTGGATATCCTAACAGAAAGATATTTTGATCTATTTTCCTATGGAATTGTTTCTATTATTCTCTTTTCATTTCTATTTTAGTAGTGTTTCCTTTCTCTTTCATCTAATTTTTATATGCTGCTAAGTATATTTTAAATACAC